TATATATATATATATACCCTGTATCACACTTCCCACAACAGTACAAATTTTAGTTAGATGTATTTATTGTACATGTCCTGTCTCACATTATAAATTATTTACGTAAATATTATGTGCAATGTAAATTAAAGAATTTTAATCCATACCAAAATAATGTTACAGTAATTAAGATTCCCACTTTTGTAACATTTTGCCCAACAAATATAGCAATTTCAATTTGATTGTGGTGTTTGTTCATTGTATACTTTTTATAATAACTTCTTTCATAGGAACAACAAATATTAGTTTGCAGTATATCCTGTATTGATTTATTATTATTTATTGACGTTTTTACGATTTCTCATTTCTAAGTTTTGCTAATTAAGCAGTAAATTAAATAGGACTTCTTCTTTTATCATATATTTAGCATAGTTAAATATAAACAATTAGGTAACAGTAGAGAAGTCTTTTACATTTTTACAGTTATTAATATTTTGGGCACTAGTTATTTATATTGCTAGTAACTTAATGGAAAAGTTGTCTATTTCCTTATAAAACGAATGAAATGAAAATTACACATTTAGCATAATAAGTTTTGAATGCAGCAATAAATAGTCGAAGAAAAGCTTGTAATAAATTGTCTGTAGGCAATAAAAATATACACTATTGTAGGAGCGTCTTATTATAGGATACTTAATATTGAATTCCTTCTTTGGTAGCAAACTAACAAATTTCATTTTAAAGGATCACAGATAAGACATAGCCGTTTTCAGTTCTAGTATTGTAAATAATTATATTTAATTTTTTTAACTTATTAATAAGCACATTTTAATATAATGTTTAATAAATACGGTACTACGTTCGTTGTTTTCTCGTAATTTCGAATGTTTTTGAATAAAAGTAAAATGAATACTTTATTTTCTGAATAAAAGATTATGACGATTAAAAATATTCTTCCTGCTACAAACATGTATTTATGCATTTTCTCATCTGTACGTCTTAACCCTTAAAATGTTTACAATTCTTTGTGGCAAAGGGAAGGATATTTTATACCAACATTTTAAAATATTTCCATTAAACTTTGCCACGATCCTGATA